AGAGAGAGAGAGAGAGAGATGCTAGGCATTCTCTAATTATTCTAATCATTTTGACAGCTTCACATTTTTTTGTTCCTGTAACTAAAAGCACACTGAATATCATTGTCTATAAAGATGTCTATTTTGGCTTCCTTGAAATCTAATCCCTGAGCCAAAAGTGCATTTTTAAAAAATTTTTAATTTTTATGTATTCAGTACAGGGTCACAGGGTCTCACTACACAGATCACAGTAGTGCTCCTCCCGTTTTCAGCCTCCCAAGCACTGGGATTATAGGCTCACACCACCATGTCCAGTCTCATTTGCTGTCTCAGCGCACCCTAGAGGCAGGGCCGAACCCCAGTCCCTGCGTCTGCCTAAGTAGGTGTTTAGTCCGCTGAGCTATCTGGCTGGCCCTTAAAAGTATGAGTTTTTAATGATGAATTTCCTTCCCACACTGGGAAGCTCTAGTTGGCTTGTTGCAACAACTTGGCCAACATGTGGTTACTTTTTTTAGTTTGTGTTTAGGGAAGACTTTCCATCTTTAGCTTAGAATTCTGTCCGTAGACATGGTGGGCATGAGGTGCTGGCGCTGGTAGAGATTTGCTCTCTTTAGTTACTAGTTTGTTTCTTGTGATACTAGAAATTGCATCTAGGGGCTTCCCACTGAGCTCCATCTCAGCCCTTTTAATTTTCTTTCATTTTGATTTTTTTTGGGGGGTGGGGTCTTTTTTAAGTCAGAGTTTCATTGTGCAGCTCAGGCTAGCCTTCAGTGCACTCTGTAGCTCAGCCTGACTTCAAATTTGCAGCAACCCTCCTGCCTCAGTCTCCCAAGTGCTGGGATTACAGATATGTGCCACCACATTTTGGGCTCTTGTTTCCAAAAGTTGAGGCTACCTCAGGTCACTCAGGACACAGTGGCAGATGCTGTGGTTGAGTTGATTTTCCAACCCCTTGTCCTCTACTGACAGGGCATGAGCAGAGAGTCATAAGAGAGAAAACTTCCAGGCAGAGGGAAAAGTAGTAGAAATACTATGGAGGTAACAGAGACAAGGGTGTGGGAAGGCCAAAGACCGGCACCCTGTAATCCCAGCACTGGGGAGGCTACGGCACAGGATCAAAAGTTCCAGTCCTATCTGGGGAATGTAGTGAGAAGTTATGTCAGAGTAGAAAAGGGCTGAGGATGTAGCTCAGTGGCTGAACCCAAGACACTAAATCTTTCTGGTTCTTTTTGGGACAGGGTCTCACTATGAAGCTCAGGCTGGCCTTGAGTTTGCGGTGATCCTCCTGCCTCAGCCTCCTGAGTGCTGGGATTACAGGCATGTGCCACCACGCCCAGCTGATACTTAATCCTATAATGAGAGAAAGACAGAACCAAAGTCTTTTGCTAGCCCTGAATTTTAGTAAAATGCAGCATTTGGTGCTTTTTATACAGCACTGTAGCTTGCCGCATATATCTTATTTGATCTTTCACAGCATCGTTTACACACAGAAAACAGAATGTGTCAAGAAATGTGGCTGAGATCACACACCAAGTGTGCTGCTTATTGGGATTTGGCAATCCAGTCTACCAAAGCTCACGACCAGTTACTTAAACCGGAGCCCCTGCCCTGGATCAGGACTCTGGTTTAAGACAGGGACTCTAGCATTCCTATTCTTGTGACACAGTCTACAGACCTGTACTGTTGCTTTTTTCACGGCTTCAATCTTGAAATAGAAAGTTTCATTGTTCTCTGCATTCAGCTTCTTCATGGAGTGAACCAGCAAGTCCTGCAGCTCAGGGCTGTCCACAGGTAGGTGACTGGGGCAGCCAAGGCACACCTGGACGGGCGGCTCCACCACATCCAGCCCTGAAAGAAGCAGACGGTAAGTCAGCATGTGCACGGCAGGCGCAGCCTAGCCCAGCGCCTGTCCCCCACGGGACCCCACGTCCTGAGCCACCGGCCGCCTAGGCCCCGCAGGCACCAGCGAGGCTGTCCGTGTGACCTGCCCTTTCTGTCTGCCCTTTCACGGTCTGCAGAGCTCAGTGTGTTTAGGGAAACATTCGCCCAGCAGGTGCTGGGGACTCAATCAATATGCTACATTCTCCCTGAGTATTTGCAGCTTTTTGGGGGGGTGGGGGCGCAGAACCGGGGAGTGAACTCAGGCCCTTGCACTTGCCAAGGAAGTGCTTATTCTACTGAGCCATCTCCCCGGCCCCCAGTATTTGCCTCTTTGATGGCAAAGACGTCCTCGCTGCGGCACGCCTGCCCAGGCCCATCGCCTCTCACCTGGGTAGAGCTGGCAGTTCTGTGAGAAGGAGCTCAGGCTCTGCTGCGCACCCACGAGGGCGTTGCCTACGCATTCTCCGGTGTCCTGGTTGTGAAAAAGCGTAAGTTAGAAATGTTTTTGAGAATCGTTAAACAGCCAGGAAAGCTAACACAGCTGGAGCTGAGTGTAGCGTCGCCAAGTTCAAAGACACACACGTGCATGCACAGAGACAACATGAAACAACA